TACTACTACTACTACTACTACTACTACTACTACTACTACTACTACTACTACTACTACTACTACTACTACTACTACTACTACTACTAGTAATAATAATAAAAAATCATATTTATAGAACGTAAACAAGAAGTATACAGGGTGATTCACAAACTTTTATCACTTAAATAGCTCCGAAAGTACAATACTAGCAAAAAAGTGGATAAGAAAAAAAATTACATGAAAAATTCAGGACTACAATATGACATTAGTAATTTTTTGTTAGGTTGAGTCATTTTCAAGATTTATTCGTCAACTTTGTTTTTTTAAATACAATATTATATTTTAAGACTTATTTTCGAATAGCGGCTGTCAAGACGAATCTAATGATATGCAACATTAATATTTTTGAAGATCAACGAAGTTGAAAATCTGGCAAACAGCCGACCACAATACAGCTCTTCCGCGTCATGATCGCGTCATGGTCGCGTCAGGGTTGTGTCAGGGTTGCATCATACTTTAGTTGTTCTGACAACGGACGGAACAGATATTTTTCGAATAGTTTTTATTGCTCATTGTCAGGTTTTGTATTTAATGTTGCATATCATTGGATTCGTCTTGTCAGCCGCTATCCGAAAATGAGTATTCAATTCTAACATTGTATTGAAAAAAACAAAGTTGACCAATAATTCTCGAAAATGACTGAACCTAACAAAAAATTACTAATGTCATATTGTAGTCCTAAATTTGTCATGCAACTTTTTTCTTATCCACTTTTTTTGGTAGTATTGTACTTTCGAAGTTATTTAAGTGGCAAGAGTTTGTGAATCACCCTGTATATTTATATGCATATTAATATTAGGTTATAAACTAGGAAATGTCTGATTACTCGGATTATTTTCATCTCGAAATCAGACATCTCATATTTAATGACCTAACAAAACATATAATTTTTGTTATGTGTTATACTTTTGCGTTTATTTTCAAATTATCTAATTAATATTTAATTTTAATTTTTTTTTTTTTAATTTTATAGGTTAGGTTTCTTTATTTGTTTCAAACGACGAGGTATAGTTAGTCTGACGTTTATTTTTAATTATGTAATTAATTGTTTATTTTTAATTTTATTCGTTAAAAATTTCCTTATTTGTTTCAAACTATGAAATAATATTACGTCGAACAATTATGGTTTAGTAAAAAAAAAAAAAAAGAAAAAATTAATCCCTAGTTAATAATTCATCCATCTTTCATACGTTTATCGATTTAATAAAATTGTTTCACAAGAAATGATCTTTTTTCTTTTTTTTTTCTTACGTTTATGATTCATATCTCGACAATGTAATTATTACCAGATCTGTACTATTTTTCATTTAACAATTGGTAACACTTTTTTATTTCTTTTTTCTTCTTTTTTTTTTCTTCTTCTTCTCTTTTTATTCTTCCTTAATGTTAGCCTTTTATTATTGCGAAAGGTATTGCAAGGATCACGTGAATGATAAGATCGCGTGAGATTAATATACGTGTATGTGTGTGTGTGTGTGTGTGTTTTTGTGTGTGTAAGTTTTTTTTGTTTGTTTTATATTAAATGTGTGGTGGTAATTATGAAAATAATATGACTAATACGTAAATTTAGAAAAAGAAAAAAAAATCATTGGTAAACTGTATTTCACAATATTAACAATTATTTTTCTATTATTAAAATAAAAGATTATGGTAAAATACAAAATTTGTATAATACTGTATAATATTTTCCCTATGTAAATTATTATTACAATTTAGTTAATATTTAATGATCATTATAAATACGATTAATAATAATTAATTTGTATAATATTATAATTATTAATTTAAAATATTAATTTAAAATATTAATTTTTTGTATAATACTGTATAATATTTTCTTATGTAAATTATTATTATAATTTAGTAAATATTTAATAATCATTATAAATACGATTAATAATAATTAATTTGTATAATATTACAATTATTAATTTAAAATATAAATTTGTATAATACTGTATAATATTTTATTATACAAATTAATTTCATTATTTAATTTACATTTAATGATCATTATAAATACGATTAATAATAATTAATTTGTATAATATTAATTATTATTTATAAATATAAATTTGTATAATACTGTATAATATTTTGTTATGTAAATTATTATAATAATTTAGAGTAAACATTTATTGATCGTTATAAATACGATTAATAATAATTAGTTTACACAATATTAATTGGTAATTATAAATATAAATTTAAAATATAAATTTGTATAATACTGTATAATATTTTGTTATACAAATTAATTTCATTATTTAATTTACATTTAATGATCATTATAAATACGATTAATAATAATTAATTTATATATAATAAAAATTATTAATTATAAATATAAATTTAAAATATAAATTTGTGTGTATAATACTGTATAATATCTTCTTATGCATATTATTATCATAATTTAGTAAACATTAAATGATCCTTTTTGATACGATTAAGAAATAATTAATTTGTTTATAATATTAATTATTAACCTAAAATATAAATTGAAAATATAAATTTGTATAATACTGTATAATATTTACTCTTATAAATTATTATTATAATTTAGTAAACATTTGATGATCATTGTGGATACGATTAAATAGTAATTAATTTGTTTACTTTATAATTTTTTTATTGAATTCATAAATATATGTATTTATTTAAATTACAGTTTAAAATGAATCGAAGATACATTATTTATCTGTATAATTATGCAATTTATCGATTTTACGTGTAGAATCAATGACAGAGGGAACCGTTTACTATTGATTTGTCTAAGAATATCATGTTTATAAACCTCAGTTGTAACATGCACATGTATGTATATATGTATACAGTTGCATATACACACGTGTATGCAGTTAATTTCAAATCGATACACATTATTTTTAAATATACACCGAGATGTATATATATATGATGAATTGCAGCACGTATCACATTCAAACTAGGACGTTGAAAAATATTTCTTATCTATCATTTATACAGCGATTACATTTATTTTGTTTGTAATTTTCCTTTTTTTTTTTTTTTAACAGAAAAACTCATTAAAATTGGAATTATGAAATTGTTACAGATAATCGTTTAGGGAGAGTTGACAAACTTTATAGTTTAAACATTAACAAAGTATTTTATTGTAGGGAAGTTTTGGTTTTTTTTTTTATAAAAAAAGAACACACAACAACATCAACAAATAGAACAAATATTTCTATATAGGTATATAATTAATTAGTATAATATAATTAATTAACTCTATATTAAGAGCACGGCATGGCTCAGTCGGTAGAGCGCTCGACTCCCGCCCGAAATTCGCGGGTTCGAGTCCCCGCTCTCCGACATCGAACGAAGGGGGGACATGATGCCCTGTGCTCGTCGTCGTGGCTTTGGGCTCGCGGGCGTCAGAAATGATGCCATTGGGAACCACCGCCA